GGGGGCCAGGGAGAGAATATGGTAGTTTGAAAGTAATTGGTTGTTAAATGGATATAGATTCTTGGCTAAGGATGGGAGTTCATGTCTACTTCCCATCTAAGTGTCTGACAAAAACTTCATTTGTTTGTTTTCTAAAAATCTTAAGATTGGTATTCCTCAAACACATGGAAAATGAGAAACTGTTTCCAAAGATTTCTGAGTAAAGGTTTTATCTGATGGCATGAGACTACTATTATTTTTAAGAAACCTACACACTTTCGAGGAGAATTATATCATCAGAAAACCATAAGCTTGGACTGTGTGAGACCAAGGTGATTCTATAGGAAGGGACCTCTACATCTCTAATCATTTATGGGCAAGAATCAGACTGGGACTTCTTAGCTGTGTATTGGACAGATCATTTCTTGTGGTAAATGCAGTTTGAAGTCAAGTTCCAGGAGAGTGAGAGTAGAAATGAAAGCTGAAGAAAGTTGATTCCAGAACTGAGCTGGAAGTCAACAGCCAATTTGATTCCAAAACTGCTTTTATCAGTGACTACCTCGTGAATCCTGTCCTTATGTGCCCCTCTGAGATTCAAGTCTCATCCACTTGAATGGCAATATCTATTGCACTTGAAATACGTTGGTGCTACCACTGTATTTGAGTGGGGATGTGTCTTAGGGTTTCTATTGCTATGAAGAGAGATCATGACCATGCAACTCTTATAAAGGAAAACACTTAAATGTGTGGCTTACAATTTCAGAGGTTTAGTCAATTATTATCATGGTGGGACATGATGATGTACAGGCAGACATGATGCTAGAGAAGGAGCTGAGAGTAGAGAAGGACCTGAGAGTAGAGAAGGAGCTACATCTTGATTCTCAGGCAACAAAGTGAACTATATCCACACTTGGCAGCTTGAGAATAGAAGACCTCAAAGCCTGTCCCTACAGTGGTACACTTCTGCCAACAGAACCATACCACCAAATAGTGCCACTCTTTAAGAGCTTATGGGGACAATTTCATTCAAACTACCACAGGGTGTGTGCATAATTATTTGTCTTTCTGGTTCACAGGTTAAACTGAGGAGAATTTTAACTCCAAGGCTGCTTCTGAGAAATTGCAGTAACATTTGCTTTCCTCCAACCTCTCCCACATCCCACCTGCTCCCACACTTATGGCATATATATATATATATATATATATATATATATATATATATATATTATACTGTAATAGTACCAAAGAGCTCTACAACAGCCCAGAAGAGAATGTAGCAATGGTTTATATATTTGGGGATAAATTTACAGTAAGGCTAGAGATTTGGACTTCTCTGCATGCACTAGGAACTGGGACCAAATCCAGAAGAAAAGGGGGCTATACACATTTTTCATCTGTACTTATTGTACATGAGAACATACCCATAGTGGGCTGGTATCTGAAAGAACATGCTGAAGGAGTTCCCACAACACCTCCCCCTTCTGTCTAAATAAGATCAGTGCTGCTAGGAGCAATGAAGTCTCAATTCAACAGAATCCTAAGTTATTTAAGCACCATATCCTACAGTTCTTTGAAGTGTCTGAAGATTACTTATCTATGTGGAATGTAATCTCTATGCATCTAAACAACCTGACTAGTCTAACTGTGAGTATGACAAACATGGATGACTATTGGCCTGTAATTCTTAATACCTATATAGCTTAAAGACTAAGGCTTTACATAGAAAAAATAAACAATCTTTAAACAATTTTTCAGGAAATGAGGACAATGACTTCAAAATGTAAAATATATATATATAAATATCTTGATTAGAGGTATATTGCTGGTTCCTAACATCTTCCTCCGGGGAGGGGGTGAAAATGGTATGACTTCAAGGGACACAGATCCTGGGAATCAGGTAGAAGGCTTACAGAAGACTCATTTATTTAACAGTGAGAAAAAAATCTTATATACCCTCCCAGCACTCAGGCATTTTGATTCATCGACAGATGATATTTTATGCTCATCTCTCATTGGCTAGGCATGATCAGGACCTCTGACAGCTCCTGTTGCTAGGCACTCAGGAAACTTGGTTGCTCCTTATTGGCTAGGGACAGACAGCACCTTTGACAACTTCAGGCAGTCACCAGGTTGGCTCCCTTTGGCCTGGTAGGCCTTAACTTCCTATAGAGGTAGAAATGTATAGTGCATTATGATAAATATATCCTAAAATTGCATCAATATACAAAATATTTTAAGCAGAGGTAGAAACATGCATGCATATAATATGATAAAATAATTTTGCATAGGTGTACAAATATTGTAAACAGAAATAGAAACATATTCAATATAACAGATATAAATTAATTTGTATCAATATACAAAAATCTATACCAATGTAAATTATCTATAAATAGTAGCTCACAAATAGATATACCAATTTACCTATTATCCCATCACATTCATTCCTTTTTTTTTAAAAAAAAGAGATTCCCTGAGGCTACTTCATTTCCACCCCAACTCTATACCACCTATAACCACCCCCCAGGAGACATCAATTGTCCCTAACCCTAGGACAAACTGTTGGGAGAGGGGATATTGCTATTTAGAATTACTTTTAGCTGTCATGGGGACAATGTTAATTCTATGGGATCATGTAAAAACTAAAATGATGGCTAAATTTTAAGATTATGTCTGGTACAATTGTAGATAGTCTCTGAGTAGTCATTAGGGGTTTGTGGAGTTCTAATTTGACATTCTGGCTGAAACATTGTAAGCTTCACCATCTCAGCTAGCCTAGCTGGAATCATCTTGAGCAGTTTGTAACCCAAAACCAATCTTGAGGTGGTGCTATCAACATCATGACACCATATCAACCAGGTAGAATCGCTGTTGTGGGGCCCCCTCTTCTTCCTGGAGACTTTAAAGATTACTGCAGGAAAATTTATTGTTCATTGTGGAAAAGTTAAACATTATTTATACTGAAATGGAAAGTTTGAATTTATAATGTAAATATATAACATAAATATAATATAGATAATACCTAAGTACAACCTGTTAGTTCCATTTAGTGTTGCTCATATGTGTATGTTTTTAGGACTGACCATATGGCATTGGATAAATGAGTATGCTAAACCTGGGGAATACTATCAATTCACCCTCCTTCAGCAGTCATTCATTTTCTAATGCTCTTTATTTAAGAACAGGGCCTTTCCCCAGTACACTTCAGGATGCCTTCTGGTGATATCATTGTTGAGTTCTTGTTCAGAAAATCATACATTTTAAAAATGTAACTTAAAGCTGGATGTAATGGTGCACACCTATCATCTGGGCACTCAGGAGGATAAGGCATAGAATGCTTAGTTCAAGGTCAGGCTGAACAACTGCACTCCATGCCTTGCCTGGGCTGCACAGAAGGCATCATCTCAACAAAACCAAATTTGATTTCTGTAATTCATATGTGGCACGTGTGAACAGTGTAAACACAATAGTAATTACAATGGTCCCTGCCATGTGTGAGGAATATGAACTAACCACCAGTACCATGGTCCCTCTCATCTTTGTTCTTTGTTTCCTTTCTCATTGTGTATTAATTCATTGCAACTAAGCTATAGACTTTCTATTGTTTAGTAATAGGAAGGACAAAACAATAGGATATTTAATGACTGTGTGGCATGGATGCCAAGCAACTAGAACAACCGACTGATGATTTAGAACAGTATCTGATCCTTCAGAAAGGCTGCTCAGCCAATCATCAGAGGAGTAGCCAAGAGCAGCAGACTGGGATGTTCCTAAATGCAGAAGATGAACGTCAACTCTGCTCGTTGCCATCTGTTTTATTATATCATTTCTCACTTCTCTGTCTTCCCTTCAAGCCCTCCCATATCCCTCTCCCCGCTTTCCTTCAAATTCATAGTCTCTTTTACATTAGTTGTTATCACATATATACAATATATTGTATATTCTAAATATATATATGATATACATTTATACATATATGTATATATACACATACACACATGTATATGTATGTATACATGCATATTCTAAAATGTATCCAGCTCAGTCTGTATACTGTTACTTGTAGGTATGCTTTCAGGACTGACATTTGGCACTGGACAACCAATTGGTGTGTTCTTCTCTGGGGAAAACAACCTCTCCTGCCCCTGCTTTCCCCAGTTGCCTATAGTTCTTTGTGTATGGTTGAGGTATCATGGGTGTTTCCCCACCCACTTTGGCATGTCCATTAGTGTCACCTTTTATCAGATTACCTTTGGGCAGTCATGTTGGTGAAACTTCAAGGGCATAGCTTCTGCATCACTGACAACAACCTATAAACATTTGTCCTTCCACCCACAGATAAGTATAGTTGTAACCCCTCAACAAGGAAGCTGCTCTGCCACAGATGGGGTCTCCCCCGGAAAACCAACCATAACCTTCTAAAATGCAGAGCTTTGGTCCCTAGTCCCAACAGATATATCTTTTTTCTTTAAAGAGGAAAAAGGTAAGAAGTCCAGACTCAACTCCTCTCCTCCCATCTTCTGTCACCCACTAGATCCTATCACTAAGAAATAGACTGCTTTTATTCTTTTCTAGAGACTTTTAGTTTTAATGTTTTTTCTTCCTGTTGCAAGAAGTTCAAAACAGAAGCTGCCATAAGTGAAAGGCTGTCTCTGTGCAATTTATTTCCTTTCAAGCTTAAAATGAATTTAGGAAGAACACACTTCACCTTATCACTCTCTTCAGTTCTCTTGAAAGAAGTTTCCAGAGTAATGAAATGGTTGGTGACTGTTGAATAAGGGGGACAGAAAAGGAGATAATTTTGTGTTTTTCTTTACCATTTAAATTGAAGCAAAATATATAGTTGTAGTCACAGAGTGTATGTGTTAGATTTAAAAAAATATAGCCTTCATAATGCAGAAAATCCCATTTAATGATATAATTTACTTGAAAATTTCAAATATCGAAAGGGGGAAAGGTATGTGAAATTGTATTGTGATGAGGGGTGGGTAGTTGGTGAGAACAGAGTGGAAACACTATAATTCAGCAGAAAATCGCGATTTTATGGTTTGGAAGAGACCTATATGCCATCAAATTCCGCCCCTCTCATTTAACAGGGAGAAACAGAGATTCCTAGAGGTTAAGTGGCTTGATCATGATACAGTCTAGTTAATTACTGAGAAAAAGAGAAGAAAATGCTCTTCTTGAATCAATTGTCCTAAAAGAAAAAGAAAATCATATTGAGCACATGGTACCAACATGACTGATTCTTAATTAGGAAAATAAACCATGTTGGGCAACATGGAATTCCTCTTCCCTGAGGACTCCTTTTTATCTTCCTCGGCTGAGGTGCGAACCTTCTCCCACAGAAGCACACTTGCCTTTGGCTAGGCCTTTCAGCACATCTAGTGCCATTACCAAACCCCAGTTCCCAGGAACACAGGTTCTTTACAGGAGACTGAGGGTAGAGTATAGCAGGAGATGCTGCTGCCATGAGACCATTCCATGTCTTCCCTACTGGTGAGTATTATGGGGCCATGTAACAGTTAGTGTCCTCATTCAGAACCACCTGGAAAAGAATGAAGGTGGTGTCTTCACTTGTAATAGGCTCTAGTAGACAGTAGACCATGGTAGGGGCTTGGGGTTTCCAATTCTTACTTCTTTGCCTTTTCCTTGACAGTGGCTGGAGCTTCAGAGTTAGGTTTTATTCCTGAACTCTCTTCTTTTGGTAATTGATATATCAGCTTTTAGCTTTAACTTTTTGTTATAACTACTCTTCAGCATGTGTTTCGGTAGTGTCAAGTTTATTTTTGTAACGACTATTAGAACTCTTCATCTGGCAAATTTGAAACTGAGCCTCTATACAACTCCCTAGTCTTCTTCCTTCAGTTTGTCCCTATGAGGAGGACTGTCCTAGATATGTCCTATGTATGAAATCACACAGAATGCTTTTTATGCCTGGTTTGATTCAATTGGCCAAACGTGTTTATTCACCCACATGTATCATGTGCTAGAATTTCATTTATTTTTAATATAAAATATCATTCCATTATATATATATATCGCATTTTAATTAACTATTCATTGTTGGTTTTTCATTTGTGTTGTCCCAGTCACTTCCCTTTTTAATTAAAAATTTTCATGTGTACAAAGGATCCAAAATAAAAGATTGCAGTCATCAGCGTACACATCAAAGTAAGCCTACAGAGTATAGAAGTCAAGAGCAGAGGGACCAACCTAGTCAGTCTTTAGGAGGAGGATAGAAAGAAGATCACAAGGATCGGCTGCTCAATCTTCACTTTGCCCCTGTCTGCAGGAAACTAAACCTATCCAGTGCCTTTCAACTCAGTGGAACAAACACACACACACACACACACACACACACACACACACACACACACACACCACAGGCACAGCAAGGAGAATGGCTGTTTGGGACCAGACAACATTTCCAAGTGTAAAGGTAGGAATGAAGAAAGATCAATGGAAGAGCTAATAGTAGCAACAGGTCTTGTAGGTTGTTGAGGAGGACATACCCACTCAGAAAAGGAATGCAGAGAGACAAGACCCAAGAATTCTGCAAGCAAAGGTCTCCAAAGACCTGGAATACAGGTTATTATTCTCAATAAAATATAGAAATGAGGTTGGCAAGAGACTTTCCCAGACCTTAAGCATTGGTGAGAGTAATGGGGTCATGTTAGTACTGACTATGTTCCACATTCATTATCCAGCCCTTCACAGAACACTGTGCCTAAGTCTCCTGTAGGACTATCCGGAGCTAAACTTTCTCTGAAGCTGTGTATCTTAACTAGACTCAGGATAAGTTGCTCCAGATTGTCTCCTCTGAGATTCTCGGAGCTGACTCTGCATTCCATAAGAACATCCACAGCCTGTGCCAGGAAATTTGGCTGGTGGTCACCTTTCGCTCTTAAAATGCCAAGTCTGTCTTATTCATGGTCTGTGGTTGGGAATGAAGCAATACGGTCATTAGGTTAGGTTCTCTCCTCGTGTGTGTTGTGTGTGTGTGTGTGTGTGTGTGTGTGTTTAAAGAAGGAGAAGAGACAGAGAGATGTCAGAGAGATAGACACAGAGTAATACATACACAGAGAGAAAGATAGACACATGAGATTACACTTCTTACATTAGAATTTTGCAGACTTTTCTGGATACCCTTCAACTTGTTGGCCAAACTCCTCCTCCACTAGGCTAGGAGTTATCCATCTCTCTACATGGTTTCTCTGAATTTATTTTCTCCACTATTGCAAAGGTACCGATACCAATTTTTTTCCTTTTGCTTTTATCATTCAAATAAAAAAACGAAATGCTCAGAAAGAAATAGACAGTGGACCAGAGGTTCTCTGTCTCATACTTTGTACCTGTGATTATTAGGTCTAGTTAGTGTGTCCTGAAAGTTTCTTATTTTCAAACCGAGGAAGTTTTGACATCTGAAAAATTGTTACTGAACTTGATTGACTTCTCCCAGGGTCAGGGAAGCCCCTGGGCTGGTAATTTGAATGATCAAGTCTGAGTCTAGGAGAAGCCTGTAGATTTTGAATGCTGAGCATTATGGAGGAAAGGCCGAGTCAGGAGCTGTGACTGGCGTTAGGATGAGGGATAAATTATGAAGGACGACAGAGGAGGGTGCTGGGAAAGAGATTGTTAGGGAGGAAGAGATGGGAATAGAACTGAAAAATGTATGGGATCAAGAGAATCTGGAGACCTATCAGATGTGGTAGTTGTTGGAAAGTACAAAAGAAATGGGGGAGTGAGATGTGTTTTGGGACGGTTGAGTAGAGGATGCTAAGATGGACATCAGCAGTTCCAGTGCCCATGAGGGTTAATGGCTTTGACGAGGTGAGCGATCATACTGATGGCAGAGTTCTGAACCTTGGCGCTAGAAAGACACAGCAGAATAGTTTCTACTTCATCACCTCGTGGCCTTTTCTTATTGTATAAAAACTTCATATAGAATATACTCAGATAATTTTCTAAAATGTCATTAAAACTAAGAAGGTCCTTAAAAGGGCATATGAGGAGCCACATTCAACAAGTACAGAAATAAATTAGAGAGGAGAAAATATTAAAATATCTGACCTGCGTGGGTATCTGCATAATATTTAAAATGATCTCATCCATTAAGTTCTAGTGTTTGGTGTCTTTGTCTGAGATATAAAAAATATTCTCCAAGTGAGGCAGGTGAACTGACAGAGGGTTCTTAATATACAGTGAAATATAAATTAATAAGCTTTCTAAAGCTATTAGTAAAAGTACTGAAATACATTAGAAGGTGCCTGGGTTCAGTATTTTTTGAAATCGGATTTATCATCAAAGTTAATCCAAAAGGTATCAAATCTGTGCTGGGTTAAAGAGGTGACAACTGGGAAGACTTCGCCAAAGTCCCAAATTGTACAGGGATCAGAATTCATACTAATCTTCTGTGACGGGAAACCCGAGCACATAGGAGATAAGAAACTTATGTCTCAGAGAAGAGTTGAAAAGAAACCTGGGCCGTTGCTGTTGAAAAGAGGAGTGTCATTATTAGCTGGATTGACTTAGTTGTGAACAACTTCAAATTGGCTATAGGAGCTATCAAGATAGATCTCCCTGACTTTCAAGTCAGCAGGGCTTCTGTATTTCAAAAGCCTGCTTCAAACCTCTTCTTGCAGTGATTGCATGCAGCATTTCCCTTCCCATCTAGCCTGCATACCTGCACACACTTGACCTTTTCTTCTTTACTCCAGAGGCTTCCCTCGCTTCAATCAGAGCTTCTTGGAAATGCTGTGATTCAGACATGCCAGTCTTTACTCTTCAGTGGCTTCTCTTCTGGCTCCTTTGTTATGTTATGGCTCCTTTCATTCACCTGGACATCTGTTATGACAGGGAGTATAAAGAGAAGGAGGTGTGGATTGCATTGCAATGCTCCAAATGTGTCTTTCCCTCCGACTATTCATTGTATTATTTTTCTTTGTATTCAAAAGAATACAACCCTCAGCTAATTCACAGGCAACTTGTTGTATTCTAAATGATGTTTGTAGAGCCACGATCTTATTTGTTATTAAAGTCAACAGTCTAGATACTGTATTTGGTTTTTAGTTTCAGCTCCTCTATCTTATTGAATTCATAACCTTTAGATTCCCATCTACATTTATTCTCATTTTAGGAATTTATGCTAGCTAGCTATTGCTGGTTCCTCAAACAAGCCTCTCCAAGAATATGCATGTTGATATTTTTGCATGGATAATCCCCTCTTCCAAAAGGCTTTCTTTTTAACTTTTGAAGTTATGTAATTGAGTACACTTGCCAGAATGTGGGTGGTAAGCCACTGCTTACCACATCTCTGTTTCATAACTTTTCATTTGCTTTTCTGCTTCTTCATTACAACATGTAAGCTTTGTAATAGTAGGAATTGCTTATAATTTTTATCACATTTCAATTAGTGTACAGAATAATGGGTTTCATCATGATATTTTTATACAAGCACACAATATATTCACTTTCTATTACCCTTGCTAATCTCCCTTCTTGCTGGTTCCCGTCCTTTTGCTTTCATGTCATGTATGTACACACACACACACACACACACACACACACACATATACACACACACCTTAACTCCATATATGAAATAAAACATATAACACAATAATGTCATAGTCAGTTCCTAGACAAGAGCCAGTTATAGAGTAAGAACAATATTTATTAGATGGAGAAAAGAACTATTTTTAGCTTTCAAGTTCTATATGATAGTGGTTGACTACATTAGTTTTTTTAGTTTCATTACATTACATTAGTTTGCCTAAAGGATGTTTGAGTAGTTTTCAGTTGCTCTTAAGTTAGTCCATTGTGGCCACTGATTGGGAAGTCCTTCTGTATATGTGTTACTTTTATTGGCTAATGAATAAAGTTCTTTCAGCCAATATCTCAGCAGATTAAAGTCAGGTGGGAAATCTGAGCAGAGATATCGATAAAATGTAGGCAGAGTCAGAGAGATGCCATCTAGCTGCCGAAGGAGAAGGACCCAGAACCTTTCCAGTAAGCCACGGCCTGTAGCAATATACAGATTAATAGAAATGGGTTAATTCAAGATGTAAGAGCTAGCCAGAAATATGCCTGAGTCATTGACCAAAACAGTTGTATTCATTAGTCAATAAAAGCAACATATATACTGGGGGATTGCCCGCATTAGGTTATAGGGTACTTTGATCATCCTTCAATAAGGACTTGACCTTCAGCTGCTAATGGACCAGTTTCCAGTATTGGTGTCAGCAGAATCCACCTCAACTTGGAAAAATGGGACCACTTCTTAGATGGTCATCAAATGAGGGAGGTTTTGTCAAAGACTAGTCACTGTTAACAGGAAATATCCTTCTAACAGGAAATCTCTGCTCTAGCTTGCCTGTGGGCCAAGGTGTGTTGGTTCTGTACCATGGTCTATGCTGGTTTCTCCCCAGTGCTCTTCCTCTCTGCTTTCCCATCTCAAGATTCAGGTGTGCACTATAGCTGAAAGCTTTGATTGCCCTAATTTTTTTCTCTCTTTTGATCTTCAATGAGTTCAAGCTCACAGTACAGTTTCTTGCAATTTTCTCTGTCCTGTTGCTGGCTTCCCTGGGGACTAAAGCTTTTGTTGGGATTATGACTAAATTTTAATGAGATCACTTTGCAATTATTATTACTATTATTTATTATGCCAGATAACAAAGCCAGGGCCTTGTGTTTGTGAAGCATATGATCTGCCAGTGGTTTAAAGCTTAACTCTCGAAACTTTAGTGAAAGAAGTTAGTGTAGCACAATTAATAAAAACCCAGAGACAGAAATTGGAGTTCAACCTGAAGGTCAGAAAAGAAAAAAAAGAAACAGTCAACCACTGGCTCTTCCCTCTACCTCAGTTTGAAATGGCGACCTTGCCTCAGGAATCTCAGAAAGAGATTGTGTGTGAGAGCTGTCTCCTTCTGTTTTATATTCCTCTCTAGTGCTGGGATTAAAGGCGTGGACTGCTACTGCCTGGTTTCTATGGCAAACTAGTGTGGCTACTTGGATTAAGGGTGTGTGTCACCACTGTCTGGTCTGAAAGGCTGACCAGTGGGGCTGTTTTACTCTCTGAACTTCAGACAAGCCTTGTTTATCTAAATACAAATGAGATATCACTGCAGGTTATTTGTAATCTTCTATTGTCTAAAGACTGCAAACTACCTAAATGTTGTAGGCAATAGGGTTGTTTTTCACCTAGGAACATGGCCACATGGTTTAACTGAAGCATCATTTTCCAGGAATGCTGATTATTAGGCTGATTTACGTGGAGTCACAAAAATCCTATACAACTATTTAAGAATCCTTATCAATGGATAAAAGCAACCATGGAAACAAACAACCGATTATCGAGCATTTGCTCTTTCCAACGATTTCTAAACAATGGACTCAGCCCCACTCAGCAATCACCATGGCCTGTGTCAGTCACAGTCCTTCCACTTCAACAGCAGAGGAAATCCAGATTCCAGACAGCTTTCTAAGTTCTGAAGCTACGACTCAGATCGTGGACTTTTCTGACTCCAAAGTCCCTGTCTTGTCACCACCAGGCCTTCATCTGGAAGGACGTTACCAATTAAGAACCTTACAATGGGGCTGGAAAGGTGGCACAGTGGTTAGGAGTCCTGTCAGCTCTTCCAGAGGATCTGGGTCCAATTTCCAGTACCCACATGGCAGGCCATACCAGGCTGCAAGTCCAGTTCCAGGGGATCTGACACCAATGCACATAAAATAAAGTTAAATAAGTTATTCAAAAAGTCTTATAATGGTAAAAAACGGACCAGAAGAAAATTAAGCAGCTTACATTCTATAGAAAAAACATTGTTTACGATCAAAATTTGAGCAATAACAAGTTGGATGCCATCACTAGCATGATCCTGTCTTAATTCTTACCCCTTGTCACTTGCCGACAAGTTCAGTCTTTATATAAATGTGACTGAAGGAGCCGTATTCAGTCTGTTTTGTTTTGTCGTTTTGTTTTATTTCACATAAAGAATCTAAGGATTAGCTTGTTTTGTGTCCACTTGCTCCCCTCTTCTAGACCTGTCTTTTTGTCCTAAGGAAAATGTGATTGTTGTAATAATCACATTTCCCAGACTTCCTTGCAGCTGGGGCTCTTTCCACGGCAAAGCGCTACTAATCAAGGGCACACATGTGCAGCTATCATCTGGGACTCGTCTCTTTTGCTGTCACAGCTGTGACGGGGTCTACAGGGTTCAGAACTGAACTGTTGTGGCAGCCGCTTTCTTTGTGACCCAGTTCTGGACTGAGAAGTCTCGAGACTAACTTCTGAAAGCTCACGGCAGAATAATCGGTTTACGTTGGGCTGCTTTCCCTATGATCCTGTGGTATACACCCATGTTCAGATATACTGCATTCTGTGCTGTTACATGTATTACAATTTAAACTCACAAGATTACATAGCTTACGTTGAAGACTTGGAACTACAAAATTCACAGTGTGCCCTGTCTTGAGAGGAACAAAGAGTCCCCTGAATCAGAAAGGGCTAATTTACACATACAGAAGAATCTTAGTTTATCGGTTGGTAGCTGTGCAGGTCTACACTAAAGCATGAGTTTCCATGGACCATCCTATGTGCACGGTCTACACTAAAGCATGAGTTTCCATGGACCCTCCTATGTGCACGGTCTACACTAAAGCATGAGTTTCCATGGACTCTCCTACTATAACTCTTACCGTTTTACCCAGTGTTCTGAGCAGCCAGATTCTTGGCCATCACTTTGCTATGGAGTGCAAACTACAAAATTTAGTTGCACATATTTATTGACAAAAAAATGACTTCTATATTCTGTTTTCCATTTTTTAACTGCCAGCCTGCTTAAAGCAGGCCTCTGAACAGAAAGACTGCATTTGTCTGGATCAGGCAGTAGTTCTTGAACACTTCCTGCTCCCCCACCCCTGTGTAGAAGTTACAGGGTGGTAGCATTTTTTCATGTTCTCTCTTCAACACCATTCCTTGGCCTCTCAGAATCTTTCTCCCTCGTTTCCATGATAACCACTGTGGCCACAATGCAATCAATTCTGATTCCTCTTCTTTGGGCTACCAAATGCATGCCACTGTAAACCACAGGGCATATTGCGCTGAGCTTACACTGTCAAACACCGTAAGAAAACCTGCGTGCCGAGAAAGACAAGCGACAAGGAGTTGTGAAAAATCTCAGTTTTTATTGTTGGCTTACTTCCTGGTGGAAGTGGAGCCACAGATTGCAGTTACACCTATAACATAGCTTCTGCACCTCAGGGTCATGGGATATTGCAGAAGTTGGGGAGTTAAGATAATAAGAGTCAGAGGAATAGGGAAGTTGCTGTGCGGTTGCGTTTCCTAGAGATGTCAGAAGCTAAGGCCATAAAGTTTCACTGCCGTGACTGCTTGAACATGAGCTGAACAAGGACAAGAGCAATAGACAGGATAACATGGATGGGGCAAGCTCAGGAGGCATTGATACCACACAAAGAACTATGGGCAACCTAAGCAATGCTGAGATCGGGAGAATCGGTTTTCCCAGGAAGAGCAGGGTATCAATCGGTTGCCCAATACCAAATGGTCAGCCCTGAAAGCATACACATGCACAATACACAGACTGAGCAGGTTGTATTTATGTGTTTATACATGCTTATATAAATAAATAATGATAAAAGGTCATGAATTTGAAAGAGAGGGAAGGGCATGGGGTAGTTCGGAGGCATGAAAGGAAGGGCAGAAAGATGTGATTATATTATGATCTCAAAAAGTAATTTTAAAAAGCAAAGCAAAGATGGTCTGGCCAGTCGTTTTTAATAAACAGTTTTGTGGAGACCTAAGTCTTTACAAGGATTCCTCGGGGCCTCATAGATAGATCTGAGCTTCCCACGTCTCTTCACCTTGTGTAGCTCTGCTATTGCTTTTTTATGTTCTGCTGCTGAAAGCAGTTTGAAAATCACTGATCTCATGAACTCTTCAGCCCATGCATTAATCCCCGTTACAATGACTCTCACAGTTGGCTATCTAGAATCTCTTGATTATATCCGGTGATAGGGGCTCATTACTTCACAAGGTAGCACATTCTATTTTAAGAGGTATTCCTCTAGATCACAAGACCCTACCATTGAAGATTAAGAAGTCTCCTCCCTGCTGCTAGCTTTCATGAGGCCTGGGGGAGATAAGCAAAGTGCTGATGTGTGTGGGGGGCTTATCAATGATAAGTTATCAATCCAGTCTGGGACTTCAAGAGTTACAATTATGGCATGTCTGGCAAGATGTGCCCCCTGGTAAGATAGTGGGAGGATTATTATGGGGGAAGTAACTAACCTCTTCATGATTAGATTTGCGGCTTGTTTTACAAGTAGGAAATCATGTCTTGTAATGTAAACCTAGTCAGGAGCCTATGCCTGGAAAGGTCAAAGGCCTAGGGGAGAATCTACTACTGCTGTTTTGCTAAAAGAACATGTGTCAACCTGTCTTCTAAACACCTGTGTTTATACCCATGAATAGTGCTGCTCTAAGCCTTCATCTTCCCCCCCTCCCCCCCAGCGGGCAATGTTTAATATAGAGTGTCATGACTGGTAGAAGTGTGGAGGTCAAGTGACTGGGAGGCTTTAGCCATGAAAGGGCCACCTGTGTCATGCTTTTAAGGACTCAGAGGATAGCTCGCAAAGGGAGAAAATGAACACGAGAGCCAGAGATTGAGGAGTCCTGTGAAGCACTGTTTTCTTGACACAACACAGGGTTGCGCTCATGAGGTCACTGCAGCTATGATAACATACATAAGACCTGTGCAAGACTGGCGCCATCAGCATTTCATCTGGCTTTGGGTAGAGACTCATGGGGGACCACTGTCACTGAGGGGCTGGGGAAGTCAATGGCTGGCACTGATAAGATGCTTCTGTTCTGGTAAATAATTTCCCTACTCATGCAAGAAGTCAAAGTTAAACTCAGGTAGTTAAAAAAAAACGTAAAATAGAAGGAGAATTGTTGAGAAGAACAGTTTTGGGGTAGGGGAATAGATGAGAATGGTAATGGGAGAACATTCACAAGGACCACAAGTTCAGCATATTATGCGTATGAAATTGCCAAAGAATGAAAACACAAAAACTATTATTTTGGCTCATAGTTTTCAAGATTGACGGAGAATAATTTCTAGCTCAATGATTCCATTACTCAATTCTGGTTAATTTAGGTTTATTTTATAAATCATTTTTGTTCACAAACAAGCAATCTTAACATTTTGGTAATATGAGACCTTGCTTGGTATCCTTTCTGGGTAGGAATGGTCAAAGGAATATTGCCCTAATTTCTTTATGTATGTATTGTGGTAATGAAATATGAGATTGTCAGAAGAATGATACCAAATTGCCATAAGCAGTTCACCAGATACTACATGGCTTATGAGATGTGTAACTGAGGTGGGTGGGCAGGGCAAGGAAGAGGTCCCACTTTCTACTAAGTCTGTCATATAGTTTTCCATATTCAGTTCTGAAATCAAGCATTTGGAAGTAGGAAAACCTTAAGTCCCAGACATGATGAGGAAATGGTATGAACATTCACAGGTAATAAATGATAAAGCTGGGTTTTTAACTTAGGCCTTTTGAATTCTAAAATCTGAATTCTGCTATTCCAGGAGGAGATTTCCAGTTCTTCTCTGTCCACTGTTATGTTGTTATAATAATATATAAGACCTGGCAATCCTTAATGCCTACTTCGTAATTTCCTTTACCTGCCTTGGTTGGTTATCTGCCCAAGGGACATAATAATCAGGGGGACTTTGAAAGGTTGCTCTGAAGAAAAGGGCCATGAGAAGCTGCACATTCTATCTTTCAGCTTATGTTGGGTTATGTTAATGGTGTGTTCTTTTGTCATTTCATCCATGCGTTTCAGTAAGCAAATTAAAAAAGCACAAGGTCCCCTCTTGTAGGGAGCCCGTGCTTGATATTGTGAGCATAGCTTGGAACAAGAGGCTAGATAACCCATAGTCAGAGACCTAGGATAGAACCAAATGCAACTGGTGAAAACAAAACAAATAAGCGAAAAAGTCAGTGAAATGATTTCTAATGATATTCTGCTATACGAAAACAATGGTGTTTAGCCCATTGTCATCACTGAGGCTTCATCCAGAAACTGATGGAAGCAGATGGAGAGACCCACAGGCAAGCATTAGGGAAGTTTGGGAAACCCCATGTTAGAAGGGAAGGAAGGAATGTAGGAGCAGGTGAAGTTGAGGATACCACAAGAATGTGGTCTACAGAATCAACTAAGCAAGGCTCACAAGAGCTCACAGAAACTTAAGTGACAACCACAGAGCCTGTATGCTTCTGAGCTAGGCCCTATGTTATTGTTGTGTAGCTTGGTGTTCTTATGGGACTCCAAATAGTGCTATGGGGGGTGTCTTTGACTCTTTTGCTTGCTCTTGGGACCCTTTTCTTCCTACTGGTTTGCCTCATCCAGTCTCCATCTGAGGGTGTGTGCCTAGTATTACTGTCACTTGTTATGATGTGTTTGGTTGGTATCCCTAGGAGGGCTTCTCTTTTCTGAAGCAAGACAGAGGAAGAGTGGCTCTGGGGGAGAAGGGAGGCGGGAGGCAGGTGGGAGAGGTTGGAGGAGTGTAGGGAGGGGAAACTGTGGTCAGGATTGGAGAAGAATTAAAAAAAATCGCAAAGCCATTTGTATATGTGTAGCTAAATAAAAACCAAATGCAAAGATGTAATTGTTAAAATCCTTGAGTCTCTTTTATGTCCAGGGGCTATGATGGTTTGGATCATGATGCTAAAGTCTACTAGTGGGCATGGATGAAGGAGGTAATGAAGAATGTAGAGAGAAAACTAGCTGTATCTGGGCTAAGAACTGTGGAGGAATTTCATATTCTGTTGTATTGTATTTAGGGACACACACACACACACACACACACACACACATTTGGAGAAAGACAGCCCACTCAATAGGCAGACACATCGGGTCAGTTCAAAGGCATCACTGTGGTACTGTTTTTATTCGTGACCATCTGATTCAGGAAACAAATCCATTAAACCAAATAGGATTAAGCTAGAGAACCCAGCTGGGGATGTGGCTGTCAGACAGCCACCTCCCTGCTGGTATTAATGGGTTATGGTGCAGAATCCTAACCCCAGGCTATCCCACTACCCAGGCAAGTGCTAGGCTGAGGGCCTCAGAACATCACACACTTCTCTAATGTGTCACAATTACAGAGACAACTGTGCTAAGTAACTTTCCACCGATCTGCTCTGAAAACTTGTGGTGTGTTCAATAGCCCTCAAAATTTTTCATTTGGGACCTGTGGAGAGACAGTATGGTGGTGGTTACATCGAGCAGCGACTGAATAAATAGTATTTTCAAGAGATTTTTCTTCACTTTCCTTTTGAAGTGTATAGCTTGTAAAAAGAATTTGAATCCATTTTAGCTGCATTTGTATCTCAATTTAGCACATTGAAAGAGAAGGAAGCAAGGTTGCAAAGATAGCACAGGTGCTAGTGGCTGCAAAATTGGATCACACACTTGGCTAAGAAACAAGCTTCCGTTTTTTTGCTGGGAACAATACTTTACCTTTACAAAGAAGCAGTCAGCTCAGACATTCCAGGAGGGCAGCATAAGGCAGCAGGCAAGCCCAGTAACGCTGTCCATGGTGCTGGCAGAAGTGCCCTGGGTCTTGGATGCTACTCTCTCCAGGCTTCTCCTTGGTAGGACAGAACTACTCTTTATTTATTGTCTCTGGTGACTGAAGCTTTGGAACACAGGTCACTGGAGAGATGTACTAATTATTTACCCATAGTACAACCCAGAGGCCAACTCAGATCTGTAAAATGCCTCTTGCTTTTATCAGGAGTACCGGCTTTCATACCCTAACTTCATACTTCAGAAGTAGGTGCAAACGGAGATGAGACAGAGGTGGTAGCTCTCTAGGCACACCCACACTGGTTCCGTGGTTTTGTGACTCATAGAATCACAGAAGAATGCAGATCAGCACTTCTCCTTTCAGGTGACAGGGAAGAACTATTCATGATAGTCTGGTTCTGAGACCCACCCTCCAGTTAATAAGGTGTCTCTAGGAAAAACTCAATAGAGAAGGCTGTGCATGAAGGTAGACCAATTGCTAATAGGCAGGTTTCTCTAATTTCCTCCTCCAACAGCAAAGTTCTTTCCTTTTTACTAAGGACCAGAAGTGATTTCTTTAGTCATGGGGCTACATTGTCCTTTGGAAAGCTTCCTGACTAGTTTCTTCCAGCAAGTAACAGGAAATTTACTAGTGAGTTGGTATGGTCCTATGTAGCTCTACGCCATCTCTCTCTCTCTCTCTCTCTCTCTCTCTCTCTCTCTCTCTCTCTATCGATCTATCTATCCATCTCTCTCTAATCTCTCTCTCTCTCTCTACATTTAATATTCTTAAGGTAAATTGAGAAAGGTTGATTACATTTAAGAATCCATTCTAATGTGAATGATGAAGACAGTGAAGAGGCTCTTCCATCTTGTATTTTTGTGGAGGCCATTTTAGGCAAGACTAGAAATTTTATCCCTTTGATGGGAAGCCCCGTGGAAAATTATTCAGTTCTATTCTTGGTCTGGAGGTCAAGATACCCCAGGTAAGTTAGCTTTTGATAGACTGTCTGCTTGTGCAGAACCCCCTCCAGGTAACTGCTTATCTTAGGTTATGTTAAACTGTTTAATTATGTAAAACCTCCTTACTTCCACTGCCAAGTGAGACACTAGGATATGGCTTCTGCCTTCAAAAGCCTGTGACTCTAAATATTAAGCTCTACCCTTGGATCCTGAATACCTAAATATAGTCTCTGTCAGCTTGGAACAAAAGTTTAAATTATCTATAAACTGTATCTGAGTGGTCTTCTGCTATGGGATAATGCTCTTGTACACTGTAATGATTTGTTACTCATATTGGTTTAATAAAACACTGTTTGGCCAGTAGCCAGGCAGGAAGCATTGGTGGGGCAACTAGACTAGGAAAATTCTGAGAAGAGGAAAGACAGAGATGCAATTGCAAGCCAGATGCAGAGAAAGCAAGATGAGAATGCCTTACTGAGAAAAGGTACCAAGCCACATGGCTAAATAGAGATCAGAATTATAGGCTAATTTAAGTTGTAAGAGGTAGTTAGTAATAAGCCCGAGAAATAGGCCAAACAGTTTATAATTATTATATGCCTCTGTGTGTTTCTTTGGGACTGAATGTCTGTGGGACAAGGTGGGACAGGAACTTCCATCTACAGTCTTCTCTCATGGTTTTCCTGTAACACTGACATCCATTAGAGCTGACCTACAGTAGCTAGAGAACTACCATGGCTTCTGAATCATTTTTGTTTTAGCTTTATGATTAATTTTAAAATGATGTATCTCCTATATCCCAGGCTTTTCGTAAAATCCACCCTGTGGCTGAAGGTGACCTTGATTCTCTCTTCCCTTTCACCCCCACGTGCTTGGATTATAGGCGTGTTCTACCCTGTCTAGTTTACGCACTGGTGGGATCAAACCTAGGGCTTGGCAGGCACTCTACCAATTAATCTGTGTTCCCAGTCTCTCACTTTACCTTTTGATGTGTCCTCCATTCATGCACCAATACCAGCTTTCTCCCCACCGAGGCTGCTCAAGAGACCTTCCATATTTTTTCATGTCTATTGTCTTTGCATGCGCAGTTCTGTCTGCAGGCAGCGATACTTGTCCCTCCTTTGTTGTTTGTTTGCTTTCTTGTGTTTAGAGATAAGGTCTCTCTGCACATCCGTGGCTTTCCTGGGAACCCTCTATGAAGAGGAGCCTGGTCTTGAACTAACACATATCCACCTGCCTCTCTCTGCCTGTCAGGTTCAGGTTTGGGGATTAAACCTGTGTGCTGCCACACTAGGCATGTCTCTTTAATTGAGATATATCCTACCTTTGTCAGCTTCTGGTCTGCTAATGGGAATCAAGCTGGAGTATATAGTACAGACCTATCTTAGGGGACCTTATGCAAATGTCCGTTTTAATGGGCTCCAAACCTAGAGATGTGTCTGTGCTCGTGACTGGGAACCAGCCAAGCTGTGTCAGCCCACTTGAGGTGGAGATAATCAAATGCACAGCTTCTCTGACAGGCACTGATTACAGATGCTATTAAAAAGGAAATGGTCATAATACAGGTGACAAAACCTGAAGCAGCTTTCTGCTTGGTAAGTTATTCCCAGGAGGAGGATGACAAAGTCACAGAGGCCTTGCCCGAGAGCAAGAGCCTTTGTCTCTCTTTGCTGTGGGTGGTGGCTGAGGAAAAAGAGGGCTTATGTAGACAATAATTTGCATTTTATTAAAAATAATTGGAAAAGTTTACCGACATTTCTTGCAAATATGCAACTGTCAGGCATGGATGGAAAAGAAACATTTTTTTTTCTCCCAATTGTGGGAAATTCTAATGTCGTGGCGAAAAATGAGGAGTTTGATGATTAAATGTGGAGGGCTGTCATCTCGGCATTATATTAAAATAACTCGCCTCCAGCGAGTGTGCAGCATTTCTTCCTTTAAATCTGTCATTTCTCGGGAGGCCACAGCTCTGGTTGGTCGCGCTGGTGACTTTGTAGCCACGGAGGCTTAGCAGCAACAGGGACCCTCAGAGGATTTCCCAGGGTGGGTGTAGGTAGTAGATGAGGGGAGCTCATTAACCCCTGAATGCCTGCAGCAAACCCGTTTGCACATCTGTTTTGCTGGGACTTGGAAGAGGCTCTCTGGAATCTGAGACTTGAAGTAGAAGGCTTGCAGATAAATTGCTTTCAGCCGCGCTCCTCAGACCACGATGTCAGGCTGCGGGCAGAATGAACGGCATTTGTTTATGAAATCTGTTGCTTAATGGGACAATCAGTGTCTCGTTGCAGCCTCTGGTCATGATATTTTTTAATGATGGCCACACGGTGCTGCTTTTACATGCAAACCGCAGAGAGCTGAACATTGGGAGAAAAGCTTAGATCGGTGGAAGAGAGGAAAGGGATTGCTGGGTCAGGGATCGCGTCTCCTGAACAACTGAATCCAACAGCTGTGTCTCTGCATGTCTCTCTCTCTCTCTCTCTCTCTCTCTCTGCTTTTTTTTTGAAAAGGCCATTTAACCTCCTTCCCTAGTGGAATGTTCCCTGTGGCTCTGGGGCAGCCCCTCCTGTTTCTTGGCTTCCCTGATTGGTGCTGGATGGCACAGTAAAGAGACTGTTCTTTCTGTGTTTCCGCTTGGGCCATAATTTTTTGGCTTTTGAAAGCGTATCCACATCTCATTCCACTGTGCTCCTAATCAAAGAGGCAGAGAGGACATGAGAGCAGGGCTATTTTCTCTTTGCTTAGCCCATCATTGTATGTAGACTCCACTTACCGCATTGGAAAGCTTGGTATGTGTGTGTGTGTGTGTGCCTACACATGTGTATGTGCACATGTAGAAGCCAGAGACTCTCTGTGGCCTGGAACTCTCTGTGTAGGCCAAGCCAGCTGATTAATATACCCCAGGTATCCTCCTGTCTATTGCCTCACTGTACCTGGGTGTTTTCAGGATATGTGGATATGCATGCGTGTATTTGCATATGAATGTTGGCGTTCCTGTGCAACAGAACATTTGTAGAGGCCAGAGGACAACGTAGGGTTTCAGTCTTTGCCTTCTGCCTTGTTGGCTTCTGTACATGGGAGGCTAGCGGACCTTGCAGAGACTCTCCTTTCCCCAGTTCTTGTCTTGCCAAGTGAGCACTGGGACTCCAGCCAGGCACCACCTGTCTGGATTTTATGTGGATTCCAGGGATTTGAGTCCTGGTTCTCATGCTAACACTGCAAATGTTTTATCTGCCGGAGTGGAGCTCTCTCTAGAGCTCCCTTCTTTTTGTGTTTAAAAAAAAAAATGTGAGTTCTGGGGATCAAACTCAGGTCCTTGGGTTTGCAAGGCCAGCACCTTTACTAAGCTCTCCCAAGTTCCTGGAGTTTGGTTTTCACTCATAGAATGGTTCTGAACACAACACAGTAAGCAAAGCAAAGCAAAGCAAAGCAAAGCAAAGCAAAGCAAAGCAAAGCAAAGCAGAGGAACCACGCCACAGAAAACAGTCCAGAAAGTACTCTTTCAGGCTCAAAGCTTTCCTATTGGCAGGACACTGTGCCAGCTACTTAACCCTTGAGAACTCCGGTTTCTTCTGCAACGGTGTCCGATAGAGGCTTTGTACGTATTAAGTGCCACACATAAACTAGGGCACTTCGTACTGAAAGTGTTTAATAACTGGCAGCTACTATTTGTGGTAGCATTGCAGTACTAAAAGGGGTAGTCCCGACTGAGGGCACCATCACGTGCCTGGTCACTAGGCAGCTGAGTCTCGGGAGAGTACCATGCCCTTGCCATCTTCTCCAATGCCTGAGGGCTATGCATATTTTCCACCTTTCAGCAAATCCGCATGCTGCCTGGGAGGATATAAAAAGCAAGTGAGGAGCCTGCAGAAATGCAGGTGCAGTTGGGGTTCCTGAGCCAAAAGATATAGCATTTCTTCAAAAGCCCTTAGATGTCACCTCTCCTTCCTCTGCTTGGCTGGACCCGCCCCCAGCATTGCCTCCTCGCAGTGACACTGCCTGAGCCAGGAAGTCTGGAAGAGGAAGTCACCATGACCTTCCTTCTTCCCAGAAGGAGAGGCAACAAAAAAAAACCCAAAGCCATTAAAAGCATCATAGCTCTTCCCTCTCGGCGTGCCTCAAAAGCCTCACTCTGACCCCATCGATCAGCCATAAAACAGAAAATCAACAGACCTGTTTTCTATCTCATGCAGAAAAACCAACACTGGCCACTGGCCTTGTCAGTCACATTCACAGAAATATATAGTAAAAATGGGGGTGTCCAAAGCCTGATCCCTTGTATCCAATCAAAGCTTTTTTTTTTGTCCCAGTCCCAGATGACAGCTGTGGGGCAGAGCAAAATCCTGCTGTTAAGTACTGAGTAAGGGAAGCACTTCTCATTGTCCCCGCGCAGAGGGTGCCTCCAGCAAGCCAGTGACTGACAGTCTGAATAAGTAGTTATTTCTCCAAG